CGTATTGAGCTTGTGGTGTACCATGCAGTACCTTACTTAATGTTCCCAACACCTCTATGAGGTAAATACCATTAGTATATCCATTTCACAGCAGGGGATGATGAGGTTTAGAGGTGAAATTACTTGGCGAAAGCAATTTTGTCAAGTAAAAGCAAAAATAAATAAATAAATTACTTGACCTGGAAGGTGACAGACCTGGCATTGGAACCTAGGTCTGTCCCACTATAAGATATGGGGAGAAGTCCTCGGCTCTGAGATCAAAAAGACCTAAGTTTATGTCCCCCTGTTTATGAGCTGTATGACCTTGAGCGTGTTTCGTGTGTGCACAGCAAAGATGATGAACACGCAGGCTTGTTAATAAGAGTGAATGAAATCATGTATGTAAATGCTAAGTACAGTCACTAGCACATACTAAATACTTAACAAACTAGCTATTATCACTGTTATTACTGGAAGAGTAAATCACTACTTAGGTGTTGCTGTGGGGTTAAGTGGCAGAATGAATATAAAGGTCCTTTGAGGCTGTGTGGAGTATATTAAGTGATTAGTATATGTCAGTCATCTCCGGAGTTGAAATCCTGATGAAGTGGCCTTTTCTTGTTCCATGGGTAAAACTGTATTATTTTGGTTCTTTTTTCAGAACTGAAAGGAGTTACCCACTTTTTAGAATTATCTTACATTCTGCAGAAATCCCAGGAACGCCAGAAATTCCCTACAAATATTCAAAAAGCATGTGTCCCCATAATGAATGGATTAGATTTCTCTTTTTCCCTGTTCTTTTATCCAATCTCTGCCTCACCTGCTTTCCCCAGTCCCCACTTTACCATCCTCCCAAGAGTCTTCTAGCACTTAGATGTGATAAAGATCTTAAAACAGCTTTGCCCTATCCTTTGCAATGTCCTGGACCGGTCAAGCCATTTCCTGCCTCATGTCCTGGACCAGTCAAGCCATTTCCTCTCCTTCAGCCACATCCAGACCTGTGACAGTGCCCCTACACCTCCCACAAAGCCCTTTACTGTCCTCGAAACCCCCGAATTTGCATTCACGCAAATTGCTTACTGTACTCTGTAATACTTCCCTCTTCTGCCTCTGCCCCTGCTCTTTCATCCACCGGAATCAAGAATTCCTGCCCTCTCTGTGCCTTTGAAAACCTGCTTCATAAACCCTTAATTTTTGTTCCAAAGAGATGTATGTGTTTATATAATCTTTCCAGTGAATTGTCAGTTAGATTTATAACGCAGTATGTAAAAAATTCTTGAAACGCGAGACATGTTGCTATGCTGTTTGATGTAAATACTTCTCCACAGTATAACTAATTGTGGGTGTAGCAGTAATAATGGCTGATATTTTACAGGTCCCAAGCCAGACACTGTTCTAAGGACCTTACATTTAATTCCCATCATTTCCACCCTTAATAGGATTTTTAGTATTATTCTAAGCCATAGTTGACAGAATTCGCTGTTATATTTTAAAATATGTGTCACACAGGGAAATTTCACGTACATGCAGATGTCCATGTGATTAATCCTTGCACACAGACGCACCCATGCGCATAGATGTTTACCTCTGTATCGACTATATCGTCATTCAGTTGTGGAATTAGCAAAACCTGCAGGCTCCCTGACCTCACCTGTACTTAGCTTTATCCAGTCTCGCCTTCTGCCCCCCTCACATCACATTTTACATTTCCTCAGCCCAATAAGTGTAATTCTTCCCTTGCAGAGTTCTGGTGAAGGTTAAATATGATACTGTGAAAAGCGTTTGGGTCAGAGAAGGTTCAAAAAGAAAGCCAGTGCTCCCTACCTGTGGCCTCTCTCTGTCTTAGGCAAGACTATCTTCGATGAGTCCATCATCGTCCCTGGTAGACTGAGAGTTTCTTGTAATTCTAACACCTGCATGAAAATCCAAGTTCAGGAGAATGGCCGTGTCTGGAGAGAGAAGGAAGAGGTTAGGCTTGGGTACAGGCACAGGGAGAGGAAGCATTCTGTAATTCTTTCTTAACTGCTTAGTGGATACATTGGTATTCTGTTAATATAAAGATTTTTATATCTACCATTTGAACTGTTTTATCATTTCAAGCAAACAAATCAAAAGCCTGATACTTATGTTCTATTTACCACTGAGACACTTCTCTCGAAAGCAGTTGGAATGGACAGGCAGCTGAATTCTTTTTTTGCTGGCCTCCAAAAGCAGAAGATAGTGTCAGGCAAGGTGGGACTCTCAGTGTGGAGCGAGGCTCTCTGGCCTCAGACAGAGGGTGTCAGGGGTAGCTGCAGCCTATGAGGGGGATCAGACACGTGCATCCTGTCTGTCGAGCTGATGAGGCCTTTCTTTTGTGTTTTCCTGAGCCACATCTCTCAGTGAACTTGGGCAGTAACCAGAGCTGCACCTTATCTTTTTTAATATCTCAGCCCGAAATGCTGACATCCACGTAGGCAGCATGAAATTTTAATGTGGTGATGATTAGAAGGCTGCTGGGTCCTCATTTCATCCTGCTGGACTGCTGTGAGGCTCGCGTCCTTCGTCATGTTGACACTTCCTTCCCCAGTCCAGACACGTTCTGTTTCGTGAGTGCCGATTGTTCCCATGCAGTTATCGACGGTGTTTGAGAATGAAATACTTCAAAATTTCATCTCAATTATCGAACAACCTGGGAAGTTTAAGAAGGGAAGGAAATCAAACCCAAGTCAAGAGACGTTTCCTGAGCCCTCGTTTTGTAAGCCTAGCTCAGTGACAAATGCGCAGTGGTGGTGGATGGGAGGGGACGCAGCGGCGAGCCAGAGGGACTCTCTGCATCTCATGGTCTGGCGGCTGGGAGAGATCTATGCTCGTACAAACTTGATACGGTGTGGTAGAAAATATGGGAGAAGAGGTGCAGAGAATTACGGGCAAGGCTTTATCAAGAGAAGGCTTTATCAAGAAAAAGGTGTTGAATTAAGCCTTGAAAGATATGATTTTGATTGATAGGACTTTGTTCGGTACTTATTTGTTCATTTATTCATTCAGCAAATATCATACATCTCCCGTGGACCTCCATACAAATTCATGCTTCCCTGTAGAACACGACGGAGGGCGGGGGGAGGGGGAGAGTCACACACAGGCGTCTGAAACGCTTCTGCGTGACCGGTGCCCATCAGCTCCACTCCCATTTCTTTGGTCAGTGCAGGTCACATCCCATGCCTTATTCCTTCAAGGGCGTGGGGACCTGCAGTGCTTTCTATCATCCTGTAAGGACTGGGAATCTAGATATTTGTGATGAGTGACTGTCTGCCGTAAGAGGCACGAGATCTGATGCCCAGTTTTGTAGGATCACATTGGGTGCTGTGTGGAGGACAGGCTGTAGGAGAGCAAGAGCCGCAATAAGAGACTGTTGCAGGAAGCTTTGGCAGTGATCAAGGCAAGAGATGATATTGGATAAGATTGATAGACATGGAGATGGTGAGGCATTGTCAGATTTTGGATGTATTTGAAAGGTAGAGGCAACAGCATTTGCCAGTGGATTGCATCTGGGGCGTGAGAAAGAAAAATCAAGCATGCCTTAATGGGCTTCAGCCCGAACAACTACAAGAACGTGTTTACCATTAACTGAGATACAGGGGACCGCAGAGGACTGAATTGGGGGAGAGCATCAAGGGTTTGTGTTTGGCATGTTAAGATCGAACATAATTATTGGGCATCTTCGTGGAAGTATTGAGTAGGCAGTTGACATTTAAGTCTATATTTCAGGGGCGAGTTTGGGTCTGAGCTGGGCACATCAGTTTGGGAGTCATCGGCTGGTAGAAGTTATTTAAAGCCGTAAGATTTGGGGAGGTCTCAAGAGAAGACGCATTGATAGAGAAGAATAAAGGCCCAAAGATGAGGTGAGGGCCCGGCCACACGATGAGGTCATGGAGACGAAGACCCAGCAGAGACAGAGGAGAGAGGGTCTGCCGTGTGGTGGGGAGGACAGCGAGGCGAGTGTGATTTCTAGAAGCCAAGTGGACAGCGTGTCCACCGTCTCGTGGACACACACACACCAGTGTGGTGGTTTTCAGAGGGGAGGAGGCATGGAGGGGGCTGAGGAGGGTAAAGCCAGTCAAATACATGGTGATGAGGAGAGATTAGACTACGGATGATGAACACGCAGTGAAGCACGCAGACGACGTATTATAGAATTGTGCACCTGAAACATCATGTGATTGACCAATGTCACCCCAACAAATTTATGTTTTTTAAAAAAAAAATGTTTCAAAGAGGTGGGAGTTGTTATTTATGAAGCATTTACATATGGAGAAACTTTTGTATCCTTTATATGAACCCATCTGTACCACAATCTTGTAAGGTAGATAGATACTGGTCTCATTTCATAGGTCAGAAAACCAAAGCTCAGAGAGTGAGGAAATTTGTTCGTAGATATTTAATTACTACCTCTTATGTGGCAGCTAGGGTAGTAGCCATGGCAGATAAAAGGCTAAGGTAGTGAGCTCACAGGTGGCGAAGCCAAATGTGAAACCTAGATACACACTTGGCACCGAGAGATGGTACGAGAGGTGGTACGCGAGGAAGCATTGTTACAGTTGCTGCTCCTCAGACTCCGGGCTTAGAAAATATTGAAGCTACGATTGGTTGCAGAGAAAGAAACATGTTAGAACACATGGACTTCTCTTTTGCATCTCAAGGTCAATTTTCTTAGGAGAATTTTCTCCTCGTTTTCTGATCATCATCGTTTCCCAGTGGCTTGAAAATGTGATGATAATTTTACCCCTCAACCTATGAGGAGTTTCTGGATTAACTAAGATATAGGTGAGCTACGTGCTCTGATGGAGAAAGGGAGCCTCATTTAATAAAGAGTGAGTAGGAACAGTCAGTGCCCTGCTAACCACCTTCTGGACACGTTCAAGAAATAATTGATGCCATTTCTCTTCGCTTACCTTTTGAGAGTTTCTAGTGATCAATTGATGTTCAAAATAACTCGTCGTCATGGCAAGTAATAGCTCACACTCTTCTCTCTTCTTTTTTAGATCACGTACAAAATGAAGAAAACTATGCACAAGTTCTTGATAAGTTTGGGAGTAATTTTTTAAGTCGAGACAACCCAGATCTTGGCACTGCTTTTGTCAAGTTTTCAACTCTTACAAAGGAGCTGTCCACACTGCTGAAAAATCTGGTAAGCCGTTTCGAAAGTGACTTTTTAAAAAATTACAGCCAAAAAGTTTGGGTTTTTTTTTTAAGGTCCAAAACAAACTTTATTTAAATAGGAATAATAAGATATAACTCAAATACTGAATAATTGCTTTGAGTTGACTAGAAGTCATGGAATCACAGTCAGAAAAGATTCCATGGTGAAATTTCTAGAATGTGTACCTCTGGCCCAGCTGACAGCAGGGTAGATGTAGTAAATCTGAAAGAGGCAGGTCAACCTGAGCGCTTTTCCACATTCTGCCGTTGTTTTGTTTTTATTTTAGATAGCTTTTAGCAACTTTTGCCTTTCAGTTAATTGAAAGAGTGGTGATGATTTCTGTGTCAAACATACATGTTCCGCCTCACTCGTGTGAAGATGATTTTGATCTCTGAATTACGAATCATTAACCTCCCCCAGTGCCCCGCATCCTTTTAACCCCCTACCAAGAAAAAGATTTTGAGACTTAAAGAATCTGGTTTCAGAAGCAGATGACAAGAAGAATCCTTAAAATCCTAGTATACTGGAGGTGCTGAACTTAGGAAGCAGACACAGGGTTGGGGGTGGGGGACCTCTTTGCCAGGTGGTATTGTCCAGCCATCACCAAACTGTGCCCACCACCCTCCCCAACCCTCACACTGTGTCCACACTGAAGAAGGTCCCTTCTGTGCGTCACACTTCTCTGGGAGTCAATTTAATCAAACCTCTTTTCTCCTAAGTCCTGAGGGGTGGGGAGGGGGTAGGGGACAGGGAGGTTGAAGGCCTTTCGCCAGTGAAGAGCAGCTGTCCCCACACCCTCGCCCTCAGTCTCTCAGCTTCGCATCTTGGCCTCCTTTAGGGGTGCAGAACTCAGACTCCACGTGTCCTGACCCTGGGTCAGCTACTCAGATACCAGACGGGCTTCTGTGGCCTTACGTGAGAACCTTGTCACAGATCTATTTGATACAAATGGCCGGCTCACAGACGAATATGCCCTCTTAGAAAACTGGAAGCTAACGTTCCATAGTATACTATATTAACCTGAATATTTGACCGATCAGAATATTCTTTCTCTCTTTCCTCTTTCATACCGGAGGAGTATATGTGTGTACAGAGTCCTGCACTTTGGAGTTTCTTAGATAAAGCCATGATATTTTGTAAGTCTTCAGATGGTTTAAATCTCTTCTATTCAGAAAGGGGCCCCCTCATTTCTCCTTTCTCCGGGTACTGCCTGCCTTTTTGCTGGCGGTGTTGCTGAAAGGGTCATGCGGTGGGAACAAAGGAAGTGAAACAAGACCGACAAGTCTCTTTGGTTATAAGTGATAAAAGGCTCGCTCTGGGAGGAAGCTCTGTTTTTCCCGAGGTAGGCGTTTTCACATGAATCTCTTGCTAACCTTTAGTTTCCTGGAGACCAAGTGTATTTGGCCTAAGTCGAGAGTCATCAGTTGTTAAGTTCCGGGCCCAGTCCGCTTCTGCATTTCCCTCCCTGGAGGTTCTTGTCCACTGTGTGTGTGTGTGTGTTTGTGTGTGTGTGTGTGCTTGCATGCACGCACACGGGCCATCTGCACAAGCCAGCAGCCTCTAGAGCATCACTCATTGTCTGTGTTTGCTTATCTAATAATACATTTGCTGAGCGCCCTACAAAAAGGACTGGTATTTACTGAACACTTTCATCAACCTGGCAATGTGCTTAGTGTGTGTGTGTGTGTGTGTGTGTGTGTGTGTGTGTGTGTATGCGTGTGCGTGCACGCGCGCGCGGGCCATCTGCACAAGCCAGCGGCCTCTAGAGCATCACTCATTGTCTGTGTTTGCTTATCTAATAATACATTTGCTGAGCGCCCTACAAAAAGGACTGGTATTTACTGAACACTTTCATCAACCTGGCAATGTGCTTAGTGTGTGGACTTCTTATTCAATAACTTTGTGTAACAATCCTAATATAAGGAAGATCTACAAGAAATTGCAAGAAGACCCAGTTCATTTCATTAAAAATACAAAAACAAACATCTTTCCTTTGAAGAGGGAGCAGGTAGAGGACTCAGTTCGTGTTATAGTTGGTTACTAAGGGAATGCCATTTCGATGACATAAAAAGTCAGTCCCAGGAGTTTAGAAGACCTGACGACAGTCGGCAAGTTTCCCCTTTATGTTTTCCCAGGAAAGGAAAGAGCAAATCAACCAACCAGGTTGATGGGCTGTGCCTTGGAGCAGAGGTTGTAGGAGAAGCCAAGCCTTCTGGGAGGAGGGTTTCTGGGTCAGCTTGCAGTACCTGCAGTCACAGGCTGAGGTGTTTTGGGGAGCACCTCCCCCCATTGAAGCTCTGGATCACCCCCCCGCCCAGAGGAACTGGTATTTCTCAGACGATTCTCCCAAATTTTATTCACTTAGGCTAGTGAGGACACTAAGTAGCAGTTGGATACAGCTGAAATTTAGATAATAAGATTGAAAAAAGGTACTTACATATTTTTTAGACTTTCTAATTGCATCCTCAGTTCAACCAGCAAATACCAAATACCTATTGTGTTCCAGGGTCTATAGTAAATACTGAAAAATAACATTTCTAATTAAGATATAGCTTATAATGGGTACTTTAACAGTTTATATTAAAACCTTACTTATTTTTATGGAGGAAAATGAAAGGGTAGATTTGAGGGTCCGGGCTCGCTTTCTGTTTCGACTCACTCGAAATAGGGAGAAGCGTGGATGATTTGTTTTACCTGTAAGCAGTCGGTTTTGCAAGTGTTGTGTGTGTTTAGGAGTTTCTGAAGGGTTGGTCCTGAGAAATACCGACCACTAAGTGATGGTGACTATCAGTCACAGTTCAGATGTTTGTCTGAACTTTCAGTGATTGTGGAAGAGATGATGACCAAGTGAGATGTTTGTGAAAACCCTGAAGATCTGCACAGATGTTGGCGTTAACAGCATGGAGGGCTGAGGCTGGTTTTTATTAACCAGCTTCTGCTATTAAACTGACAACATCCGAGGACCCCAGAGAGGATTTTGGTCGTAGCCGATGACTCTGAGTTCGTACCAGAATCGAGACACCAAGTCAGGTTTTAACGTACCTCGCTTTTCTTACTGCCCCTCACCTCTGCGTCCTAGAGAGTGGTTTTTGTAGAAAGTTGTTTTACCTTGTAAATTTCTACCTCATCGTAGAAGATGAGAGAGGCTGAAATGTAGGTGGTGGGTGCAATATGGAGAGTCCCAGCAGCTGCCGCCTTACTCGCTTTGTAGCCTGAGGCAAATCACGTAGCTTCTCTAATGCTAGGTTTTCTTATCTGTAAACAGGAATCATAGTCTCTTCTTGGTAGTGGTGGGACTTCACTGGGGTCATGGATGTAAATCAGTAAGCGCAGTACCTGACATGTGGAATTTGCTTCACAAAGACAAGCTTTTATCACCATTTACGTCTTCTCATTCGATCTTTATGGCAACTCCCAGTGCATGGCAGGTATAGGAAGCACATCAGATTAGCGCACCAAATCTCCAAAGTTAACATGCCTGGGAAGTAGTGGGCTTGGGGCTTGAGCCCATCTGCCCTGCAGATCATTTCGTGTACTGTTTCAGCGGTGCTGCCCCCCCACCCCCCGAAATTACAGAGTTAAGACATCGCCTTTGCAGACTGCGTCGATGCCAGCGGCCCGCCCGACGTGACGTCTGCAACCCGTACCAGTACTCACCAGCCTCCTGTTAGCGTTTAGCTTGCAAAGTCCTTTCTTATCTACTTTCCCCTCCATTTCCCTCGTCAGTGAGTTAACAGCACACTGGAAAAGAGGGACAGAGTATTAGCCAGTAGTTTTCAAACTTTTTGGGCTTGGGACCCCAATCTTGAAAATGATTGAGGACACCAGAGTTTTTGTTTATGTGGACTATTTCTATACATACTGACTATATTAGAATTTAAAACTGAGAAACATTTAAATCTCTTAATTATTTTATTGCAGTATGTCATTTTGGACTTTTGACACCTCAAAGTGAAAAGTCTCATAAGAGTGATTTTAACAAGATAACCTTGTCGTTTGTGTATTTTTCTGACGAAAGTTTAACTCATCCGAAGTTATAGAGATGGGGAACAGGTCAGTGGTTACCGGGGGCTAGAGAAGGGGCAGGCGTGTGACTATAAAGGAGTGGCCCAAGGGAGTTCCTCTGTGTTGTTGGATAATTCTCTATCTTGATGGTGGTGGTGGCTGTACTGATCTATACATGGGGTAAAATGTCATGGAACTATACACAAAGACATACCAAAAATAAGTGCATGCAAAAATCAGTGACGTTTAAGTAAGGTCTGTAGCCTAGTTAACCATCTTGTACCAATGTTGATTTCTGGGTTTTGATGATGTATGGTGGGTGGGTGGGAGGATGGATGGATGGATGGATGGATGGATGGATGGATGGATGGATGGATGGATGGATGGATGGATGGATGGATGGATGGATGGATGGATGGATGGATGGATGGATGGATGGATGGATGGATGGGTGGGTGGATGGATGAATAGATGGACAGACAGACGAATAGATGACACACATAAGCTATTTCTTTTGGGAGAAGCTGGTTGACGGGTACAAGGGACCTCTCTGTACTATTTATGCAACTATTTATGAGTCCATAATTGTTTTCAAAATAAAAAAGGTTAAACAAACATACAAATCATCAAAGTAGGAAGAGAGAGAAATCTTTAATAATCTAGTTATTATATAAAAATTTAAGTATAGAGCAGATGTGCAAACCCTCACGTCCTTGCTTTGTCTCCAGACCGCTGATCTGTAATCCCTCGTCCTTTTCACTTTTACCAGTTTCCTAAGTCAGTCTTTCTCTGTCTTGTGAAATTCTTCCTCTAGTCGAAGTCCCTTATGTGGTCGCGATTCCCCAAAGGTGAAGCGATTAGCTGCTTCCTCCCAGAAGCGGACCTGTTCATCTTGTTCAGAGTGTGTCTGGGGAATGCTGCCTCGTAGTGGTGAGAAAGAAGCCTGGGCAATGTGGACATAACCTGTGTCACTAATGTTATTT